TTTTTTTTTTTTTTTTCAGCACTCATTACTTGACTGCTGAGGGTAGAGGGGTATAGCTGCAAAAAAGAGGAAGAAGCTGGACAGGAAATCAAAGCTGTTGAGGGACCACTAGAAATCACTTTTAGTGGTTTTGGAAAAGAACAGACTGAAGAATTGCATCCTAGAAGAGAAGCAAAATGTGATTTTTTGAATAAAATTTTGGTTTGCAGCGGTTTTGTCTGTGAGCAAATTATGGGGAACGCGCTGTGCGGGAAGAAATCTGCCTTTGTGCATGGATTTGTCTTTCTGATTGGGGATTATGAACAGATTCAGCGCATGAAATCTCTTTAGTAACGCTGTGAATGCTGCAAAATCACGACATTATTTTTGACTTTTATGGCCTAAGATCTGAATTGTGATTTATCAATAAGGGGCTGAGTAAATTTCCCAAAGAATCGCCAAAGGTTTATTCAGTTATTTTATCATTTTAAGTTTTATTACTGGAGAGTTATTGAGAAAACTGTGACTTTTTCGTTACAGGTATGTTTTTGCAGGATTTCGTGAAAATTGATAAGTTGATGGATGATAATGCAAAACGAGCATATGAAGAGCTGAAAAAGGTAGGCCGTATCATTTTCTTACCTTTTTTGCGTTCATACATAGATCAGCGATGAATTGTGGCTAGCTCATAATTTCGTAGGTCGATTTGTCTGTTTGTTCGGATGGTTTAACTTTGAGGAACTGTGAAATCGATATTCGTGGAGCACTATAATAAGCCCTGTACAGGGACAAAATCCTGGAATCAGTTTCTCAAGTTAAAGACTCGAGTTTTTGACGACCCATTTCTTCACATTTTTCGGGTGGCTAGCCAGCAGTTGACCAACAGCTTGGCCTGTAACCTCAGGTCAAATTCAGGATAATACTACAACTCAGAAATGAATTAGGCCTTGAATTTGGACATGCGGTTGTTGCTGTTTATGCAGTTCAAAAATTCACGTGCTTTTCGATGGTTTTATGGCTGTACATGCGCACCTTTTTCAAGTATGCTCCAGCAAGCAGCTGAGAAGCATGACTGCACCGGTAGCTTTACCCATACTGCGGTTTCTTGCGATATCAGCCGACTCTCACTTTTTTGCATATTTTCATTTGTGGGACTCTTCGGTCTCCTGATTTTTGCTTGATTTTTATTTCCTTCAGATCTATGAAAGCAGTGATGAAGCCAAGACTGACGTTGAATTGTTATGGCGGCTGGGCAAGGCTTGCTTCCTGTGGGCGAATACAATGCCAAAAAAAGATTCCGTGAGGAAACGGCTCATCTTTGAAGGTTGACATTTTTAAAACGAGTCATGATGATGAATCGAAGTAATTTTAACGCCCTTAACAAATGCTCCAGTATGTGAGTGAGTGACCGATCAGTGAAGCTTCCTTTCACTGGGTGCGCTGTGCGAGTGGAAATCCATGTTTTTGGCCGAAACCACTTCAAGCCGATGAACGCGAATTTGATGATGATGCAGTTTGAGTGACATGCTTTGTACAGGGAGAAAAAAGAGTTGGAGAAGTGGGTGAGGGAAACTGTCGAGTTGAGAGGTTTATTAATTGTTGAATTGAGGCCCACCAAAAATTTACATGATGTTAGCAATGTGTTGGTTCGCTGGTCCCAGGATATCTCGCTACCTGAATTCAGTTTACCGGCAATTGGCAAGCAGTGAATCTTTGCAGGTCGAGCGTACGCAACGGCGGCTTATGCAAATGACGAGAGCAATTTCGAGGCGCTCAGGTGGTTGGCAATTCTGGTGGGTTCATGCACCGATTTTATGGGACCAAAAGAAAAAATTGAACAGGGCAAGATATTCAAGGTTTCTTTTTACGTTCAAGTTATCGGGTTCTTTTAGTTTAGGTTTCGCTAAAGTGATTTGTTTGCTTTGTTTTTTTGTTTCTATGCGTTTTTCACAAGCTACATGTGCATGCAGTCGTGCTAATTGGAGCTGTTTTCGCCACAGAAGCAATCGCTCATTCTAAATTTGTCCTGGAATCGGTAATGCAAAGAGCTACATTTGTTGCCCAGCAGTTCTTTTACAGCATTTGTACCGTAGTTTAAGACTATTTGAAAATGTAGACAATGTTCAGATGTATCTGGATCGTGCAATAGAAGCGGAACCGAACGAGTTCACGATGCTGCACTCACGAGGACGCTTCTCGTATGAGGTTGCTAATTTATCGTGGGTTGAGCGGCGACTATGCAATGCGTTGTTCTCGCAGGTTCCATCGGCCACCATTGAGGAAGCCCTCAGTGATTTCCTAGAGGTAACGAAATCAACACTTTTTTATCCTTCGAGAAAAAAAACCACTGATTTGAAAATTAAAATGGCAAGTGTAAATAGCATGCAAAATTGATTCAGACAGTGAATGTGAGAGAGCGAGAACGCCATGAGGAAGATGTACTTCAGGTCACTTCCATTCAGTTTCCCTTTCCTTCAAACTTTTTGCTTTGTATTTTTAACTTCACTGGAAAAATTTGATTTTAATTTTGTTTTAAAGTTTAATTTTAAAAAATTTTTAATTTTTTTTTAATGTACTTTTCTAGGCGGAGAAATGTGCGCAGTTTGTTTGGCCTGAAAATTTATTGTACATTGTGCGCTGCTATGCTCTGAAGAAGGACAAAAAGCATGCGACAATGTACTTGGAGAAAGCGGAGGAGGTTGAACATCCGGACGAAGCGACAAGAGAAGCATTAACAGAAGTTCGCTGCATGGTTGCCAAACTGAAATAACTTCGCTTCTAATGAACTTGTACATGGCAAATAGTTTTGAAAATGTTCTCATTCATGCATTAGGCGAAAGGTAGCGGGTGAAAGTATATGTATCAAGGCGGGAGCGTATGTTCAGAAACTTTGCTCGGTGTGCTGAAGAAATTAAGTTACCCATTTTCTGGGTTATTTTATGATGCCCTCTAGAATTTTACACCTTCTGAGGTTTTTTGTTCTACGTTACGATAATGAATTAAGAGCTCACTCACTACTTGTCCCACTTCATCCTGGTTAAGACCCCTTCTCTATTTCGGGTGTGCTATTGGCACTTACAGCGATATGCTACACCGGTACTAATGCAGTGGCGATTCACACTTCTTTTTATATTTTCTAGTTGTTTTCAAGCTGTGATGCTCAATTTTTCAAATTTCTCATTTTATGCGGTTGAAATCTCATTCCGTTGTTTCACTGCTTGCCGCTGGTGGAAGCGGAAGCAGTCTTTGTTCATCACGCAGTAATCTATTTATATAAAGCTAGGCCGGCCAGTCTGTATTGCGCTTCGGGAGCATTTGAAATTATTGTAGTAAATTGATTTTCACAGAATACTTTGCGTAATTTAAAATTCTGGAACCTGCAACAAGTCGTTTGTGTTTTTCTTGAATTACATTCCCAAAAAAGGTGTTCGATAACTGAATTGCTGGCCAGATGATTTTTGTGAAGCAATAACAAAGTCTTATGCTGTAAATTGTATGTTGTTAGATATTTTTTTTAGTTGTGTCGTGACAAATATAAAGAATACGTACAGATACGTTCTGTTTTTGTGTGGTTGTTTTCGGAAAATCATATTATGACCTGGCGGTTGTCGCTAACACGCCAGTGCTTGCTACCTGTGGAAAGTGAATGACTACTCGCGCGACCTTCAAATGGTGATTTCCTCTGGTTATTAGTAAGGCGAGCAATATGCCCTACTCATCGGATTTTATTAGCTGCAATGACATCTTGTATGCCGCTTATTTAACAGAGAACTTGATTGTTTATCTGGTCTCGAACAGACGCGCCAAGCATCCTTCGCTCCATCACTTCCTCTGTTATATCAACGCTCCCTTTTCAACTTTCGTTAGTGTCCGCATTTCTCGACCTTACTCTGCATTCATTACGATTGCACTGAAAAGGTCAGTATGGTTCTTTGAGTTCGACTGGTTGAGAGCATCGATGTTGAATTGAACCAAATGTTTGATTCTTATAAGTCGCAGAGTTCTTATTTTGAACTCTCCGTCTCACCCACCGAATTTTGAAGAGTGTCACGGTAATCAGCTTTTAGGACAACCTAGGCTGGAACGCACCAGGCGAGCCGGAGCGATCATGCGTTTTTGCACAAAACTTGAAT